ATCTTATTAAAATGGAGCTTTCTTTCAACGTAGGTGTAAAGGGGATTGAAGATTTATAAATGGCTATTCCCAGCCAAATTTCGTTCTACATAAAACACGTGATGTTCAGCTGTTGTTTGCTCTATACACTTGATCGTACTTCTTCGCTTCACTATCCCGTCCAACAGGAAAATCAGAATTTAAAAGGCAAGTAAATCTTTGAAATTGTTGTAGAATATTATAAACTGACAAATTCGCAAATATAGTAAATCTAAATCCAGTGGCAATATGGCGTTTTACTGCCATGATATCCTAGTTAAATCTCATTAAAATGGAGCTTTCTTTCAACCTAGGTGTAAACGGGATTGAAGATTTATAAATGGCTATTCACAGCCAAACTTCGTTCTACATAAAACACATGATTTCAGCTGTTGTTTGCTCTATACACTTCGAATATTCTCATCAAATGTATGACAGTATGATCGTATTTCTTCAATTCGCTTTACTATCCCGTCCAACACGAAAATCGGAATTGAAAAGGCAAGTAAATCTTTGGAACTGTTGTAGAATATGATAAACTGACAAATTCGCAAATATAGTAAATTTAAATCCAGTGGCAATATGGCGTTTTACGGCCATGATATCCTAGTCCGATAAATCTTATTAAAATCGAGCTTTCTTTCAACCTAGGTGTAAAGAGATTGAAGATTTATAAATGGCTATTCACAGCCAAACTTCGTTCTACATAAAACACGTGATGTTCAGCTGTTGTTTGCTGTATACACTTCGAATATTCTCATCAAATGTTTTTCGCTTCACTATCCCGTCCAACAGGAAAATCAGAATTTAAAAGGCAAGTAAATCTTTGAAATTGTTGTGGAATATGATAAACTAACAAATTCGCACATATCCTAGTTCGATAAATCTCATTAAAATGGAGCTTTCTTACAAGGGTGTTATGTGTATATGAAAGAAAACAACCTGTATTTTTTTCTGTATATTCTTGTGTTATAGATATCACAAAATACATACTGTACACTAGTACACTACAGTATAGACCCTCTGTGATTTATATACAATCATAGTTTCAATTGTATGAAAATGATGTTCTTGTAATCTCCATTGTAGAGCAAAGGCCGCGCGAATCATTTGTTTTATGTTTATCAACTCGAACTGGAACACGCGATTGGAACAAGATGGCTTCCAGCAATGGGAAATATGTTAAAAATGTAGTGGATATATATTTGTGTTCTCTTCATATCATGAAAGGGTAAGTAATTTTTGAAATTGTATGCATAAATTGTTTGTCTTAAGGGACCGGTCATTATTAATGGCCGGGGTGGGACCGAAGAGAAACTCCCAAAGTCCAAAAAAAATTTTTACCCACCCATTCAACATCAATAAATTTTCCCTGACCCACCCAACAATCTTTCAGGTTTTTTCCTAACCAACCCCACCGAGTTTGCTTATATACAATATCACAAAAAAGTGGTATTGACGAGTATACCTGTCAATGTTCCACCAAATCGAAAGCCGTGGAAATTACACACACTGGTATTAACTGGTCGAGAAGCACGTTTATGTTGAGTATTATAATAGCAAGTTGGCAAGAAGAGATTTATTATATTATTGACCACTGAAATTGACCATGCACTGAAATTGACCCGATCTTACATCATCGGAATTCATGGGAATTATAATGAATATCATGTCTAATCCCCAGTTGTCCCTCGAATTCCTGTAAATCACATGGCACGTTGTTGTTTTGAAGGAGAATCTAGTGAATATTCGAGATGGCTGAGAATTTAACGTTCGAAAATTTTATGTCTTCATTGAAATTTACTGAGGAATATCTGCAGCGTTTTAAAGACACTGGCTTTGACGATGTGGAGTTGATCAAGACCATGGATGCTGAAGAGAAACAACAAATGTTTGATATTGTTGGCTTGGTCATTTGTTGAAATTCAAGAAAGCTCTTTCTAGTCTTGAAAAGCCATCGATTGACATCGTTGGAGGCACGAATGATATAAATATGAATACAACACCAACGACGACCAAGCCGACTTGTGTTAAACGAGGAAAGGCTCAATGTAGTAAGTGGATTTCAGGAAGGGTTAATTCCCAATTGTTGATTCCCAAATTGTTAATTCCCATTTGTTGGAAAAGATACAATGACTTCCCTTCAGATGTTAAGGTAGATGATGTCTCCAAAAGCCAACGTGCGGTTGAGCATTTTAATGGAACTATAAGTTCATTAAAGTCCTTGAAAGATCAACTGTTGTCAAGGAAAAAGGAACTCTATAATGAACATATGGAGGAAAATTCATGGGCTGGTGATGAAATTAAATTTATTTGTGAATCAATTTTCCAAATTGAGGAAATGATGAATGGAATTGAAAAGATCATGCATGATGTTCAGCATGTAATGCATCAACTTGAGAAGAGGTTTGATGCAGCTGATGTTCGAAAGACTGAAAAGAGAAGACGGGCCAGGAGAGATAAAGAAACCAGAACAAAACTAAAAAAGAAAAAAAGGATTGTGCAAGAAAGGCATGAAGCACAAGTGGCTGAGCAAGTGGAATGTGCAAGTTTTTCCTCAGTTGAGGATGCTCTTGTTTATAACATTGATGTTGAATGACTGACAGACAGTATCCTAAAACAGTACATTGTATTATTGTACAGTATTTCATGTAGTCTCAGTATTTTAAGAATAATATAAATTTTATCTATGCTAAAAAAATTTTACCCACCCCAACCACTATTCCATTTTTTCTTAACCCACCCTTGGGTACCTTCAAATTTTTCTTTACCCACCCCTTTTCTCTTCGGCCTTAATTCCACGGGCTAAATTTTCAAGCGAAATGCGAAATATTTCTCCTGCTTCTTTTGAATTGTGAGCAATGATGCATAATTAATTGATTCAAGCGGTCAAAATTCAAAAGAAACAGACGAAATATTTCGCATTTCGCCGAGAAAAGGCGCCCGTGGAGTTAGGCCCTTAGAGTTAGGCCCTTAGAGTTAATATGTGGATATCAACATGTTTCATTGTGAATTTTAAAATTTAGAGAATGGCATCGACGATATGCCTATAGAAATGTCCATTGCAATAATCTGTTTAGTAAAACTCTTGAAGGCTGCTGAACGGCGTTTGCATCAGCGCAAATAAAAAAATAAAACAATGCTGGCAGCAGATCATGAGGTTTGTTTGCCCCAGCAACCCTTTTGGACTATAATATGGTTGACATCTAATATAGGATTTCTTCATTTGTCACCTACATTCATTGAAATCTACAAAAGCTTTATAAAAACTAATAGCACTATTATAGAGCACCTGTATTATATATTTTTGGAAGAAACCATGTAATTTTGCACTATATCAGTGATGACATAAGCCTTATATGGGGGGCACCTGTTCCTCAACACACACAGTGCCCCCTGGCAAAAATCCTGTTTACAGCCTTGGGGCCAGTTGTTCAAAAGGTGCATGGATAAAGTTATCCACTGGATAGTGACCTAATTTTTCAACTGTCGTAAAAAAGCTTTGAAAAACAAGAAAGCTACTTATGACCCTTAAAAGTATTTTAACTTCACAACTGTGAAGTTAAATCTTGGCTATGCCAAGTGGTGAAGATATGGCATATATAATTGCCTGGATTTTGCCCATAATTGCACACTGAAACCTCCCACCAGATTGTTCAAAAACCTTATCTGGTAAACAGTATCATTACCTGCTCAACCAATATCAGCCATTCAACCATCAGTACCAATCTGGATCTGTATTTATATATGCTTAAATAGTTGCAATTATAGCATAGTAAATTCATATACCTGCGTAATATATGTTTGTTTCTGTAGGCGAGACCTAAGATCTCTTGCTTCTTTAGCAATGTTGCACCATTTCGCAGAATGTTTCTCGGTGAGCAGTTTTCGTTTGTTACACTCTCTGCGACCTTTCGAGGTAAAGCTTCAGATGCGGTCGAACGCTTAATTATGGCGCGCTGTTGACGCATTCTTTCTTCGATGACGCATTCGTTTATTCGGGCCTCAAAGTTGGCTTTTTTTCGTGGCTTTTTCACCGGAAGTGACGTACATTGGAGAACAGAGGGACCTGTACATGAAGAAAGAAGGCTGCTTTTATTTTGCAAAACATCCGGACTATCCCAGTGTCAGATTGGAAAGTGAAATAGATAAAGGCACTATATTATTACATATAAAGCACGTGTTTTCTTGCCTGTTGATTTCCAAAAGCTGTTTGAAAATACTGACATTTCACCCTATTGTTTCTTTAATTGACGATATTGACGATACGAATTTCTATGTTGATTTGTACTATATTACACTGGCGAAATTTGACTCATGAAATCACAGGATCGAACTATCTAAATTCTCCCGCAAAATCCGAAAGCAACCATCCTCGTAGTACAATTTTCTTTAAGAATTAACTTCAAGATATTAAAAATTTTATAATAAAAGATAATATGAAACCAGACATTTTTCTCCGATTTTATTTTTCTGTAACTTACCCATTGCAATACCCAGGCTTGTCAAGTAGTTCACGTTGTTCCTGTGGAAAAGGGGACGCCCTTAGAATTGCCACTGATAGTGTAGTGGTATTATAGCATGTACACCGCTTAAAAATAGTGGTAATCCAGAAAAGAAGAGGGGTTAGAGACTCTCCTTTCAAAATATATTACAAAATTTCTACTTGTTTTCGTACGAAGAATTTAAAACTGCGGAGTCGGGTACTGTTTTGAGGATTCAAACAAACATCTGATGTTTCTTGATGACATGTGGATTTTGAAGTTCCACTGGTATATCGCTGTAGGATGAAATAAGTTCCGATTAAATTTCCTGCAGTTACACGTAATTGTAGAGATATGAATCCGATCAGCATAAGTATATCGCTCATGCATATATATGTTGAGTTGAGCCTAAATTTAGTGTGTATATTTAATATAGTGAATACCAAACAATATCTGACGATACTGTATACGCCAATGGCAATGGCCGAATAGCCCAATATAAACATCTCTTAGTGGTAGTACCTTGTTGCAGCAAATTATAGTAATGACACGTCTTTGCATGATAACACCTTTGTACAGCACAAATGCCTCTGAAAATAGTCAAGAGAACTTTCATGAACTGTGGGGATTACTACCTTATTTTAAGGGCAAAATATTGCGAGGGTGGTTATACAACCTGTGCACCTATACAGTAGATAGTAAATTATTCAGTGTATCGACCGTGTAAGAAAATGGGTACATGGTATGTAGAATTTGAGCTACAAACCTACTTACCAACGGTCAATGAAGTCATTTACACTTGCCTTGGCCGTGTTGTTTCTTGTTCAAGAACCTGGGGGTGAATGCACAGCTGGTCACCTGATCCTGGCACACATACGTTCGGTCTCAAACATAAAACAATAGAAAACGTCAATTTCAACAGTTAAATCTTCGTTTCCCGGTTTTGCTTACCTAAACGTGAGAAACACAGGAGTTTCTTGTAAAACATCCGAGGCTCGTATCAATTTTTTTGACGGTCTGTTATCAGGATGTGTTTGACTTGTATGTTTCGATCATAGTTTCATGTCCATAGCTTGTTTCATGTCCAGGATGCACGAAATTATTCCTAACTTTTAATTCTAAACCTCACCCTAACCCTGACCTAATTGCTTATACTAAAAGATTTGAATCAAGGATTATATTCGCGGACACTGGACATGAAATTATTACTTATTTCCACCAAATCTGACAGGTTTTTAGCAGATTCGCCAACAAGCTTATTACTATACAAGGTTTTAAACTTGACAAGCCGTCTTAAATGTATGTGTTTAAAGACTTTGGTATTAATACGTCGAAAAAATACAGTAGACACCATACCTTTCTTTAGCAAACAACAAGAAACAGCACCCTTGTTCTCTGGGTTGCAAACGTTTTCATAAAATCCTTCCATTGCCTAAAACAGACCATAAATCCTTTGATAAACCTCAATCAGCTTGTTCATTGCGAGTTATTTAGTTGAACATAACCTCCTGATCAAAATGATCCGTTTTTCGTCCTCGTAAAAACGTACAGATGAACTGTTTAACTATATATTCATTTGTTAAAAAGTCTAGTCTTAAGATTTCGCTGGATGGCAATAGAACTAACCTCTGTAAATTCGTTTTTTCGTCGTGGCTCAACAAAAATAGTTTTTTGTGTCTCAAGTCGGTTCCATAGACCAAAACTCTTACAAAACAAAGGATAATCATTGTGAATTAACGTAACGGACTAGGATATGAAATATCGTTCCTATATCAGTTTTAACAACACACAAAACCCTAACCGATTTAGAATTTCGATCTAAGGAAGCACCATCAAAAGGTCCAGTAAGATTAATCTGTATAAAAATCACATTAGCTGTATTTATACAAGAGACGAACAATTCATCGGGACGAACCTACACAAATTTTATATTAAAAGGTAATATGAAACCAGACATTTTCCTACGATTTAATTTTTTTAACTTACCTATTGCAATCCCCATTTTTGTCAAGTAGTTCACGTTGTTCCTGTGGAAAAGGGGACGCCCTTAGAATTGCCACTGATAGTGTAGTGGTATTATTGCATGTACACCGCTTCAAAGTAGTAGTAATCCAGAAACGATGAGGGGTTAGAGACTCTCCTTTCAAAATATATACTAAAAAAATTTCTACCTGTTTTTGTACGAAGAGTTTAGAACTTTTGAGGATTCCAACAAACATCTGATGTTTCTTAATGACATGTAGATTTTGAAGTTCCACTGGTAAGCCCTTATAGGTTTCCTAAATCAATCACCGTTATTAAAAATGACTATACAAAGATCATCTTGTAGCTTAATGTTATGGTGGACGTAATTGATCACCTTTGTCGCCACCAGCTGCTTTGCTGGTTGACCAAACATCCAGTTGCTTCCTCTTCCAACCGTCATTCGCTTGCTGTTGAACATGAACCTAAAAAACACAAGAAACTTAATTTGGCTACAGCAATACATGAATTGTCTCATTTTTCATTAACTACCTGCCATGCAGAGTTTACTTTTAATACACACAGGTTGAGATGATTGCACCGTAAATGTGCCAGCTTGTTGCACATCTTTCTTTTCGCTCGACCCTAATGCATCGCTGTTCTGAAAAACTACCTGGGATGCAATAATGTGGAAAGATTGGACTAGATTTTATCCGTGAAAATGATTGTTTACGAAAATGATTGTTTACAACAATTACGACACAAAGGAAACCAGGTTAACGACTGCTTGAAGACATGTAGATAAGTGGAGCTACAAGAAAGCTATTACAGCAATAAACGTCAAAAAATATCAACATACGAGCCCTTTCCCCAAATTTCTACCACTAAGTCTTCTATCATGTCAAAGACTACTGTATACGTACTTTCAAGGCGTCCGCGAACTGTCTTTGTATTGCACCACCAATTTGATCTACATTGAAGAAGATTTGCTTAAATAATGTATGCATTTCATTTCCCAGTTTTAACAATAGGTTGCTGCAATACTGGCATATTGAATCATGCAGAGCTTGCTCCAACTCGATAATCGCCTAAAATTCTTTGCACATCCAAATTTAACAAATGAAATGTTGAAACAAGCTCGGAAACCACTTCATAAACTCACTTGCAACGGAAAATGAAATCACTTTCTCGAGTGATTTCGTACTTTGACCAGAAGTTCGAAAATGTAACTGGGTGACAAAAAGACAAAAGACTGCAAAAGTTAAGGCATTTCTAACGAGGCTGCAGTCATATAATGCTTGTTTCAACAATGTTTTCAAATAAATTGTATACTGCACCTGCCGGGATGTGTAATTATTTGGAGGATGAAGATGTTACAGTATGCAATTCTTCCTCTAGCTTCAAGACCAAGCCTGGAAAATAAACAAAATTGACCCAATTATAATACGAAATCAGGCTAGCAAATCACGTCAAAAGAGGAGGCTGGGTATTATAAATGAACTAGCCGTAATCTGATTGGCTTGATAACCGATGCAAATCACTAGCTGTTCAATGAACTGCGTACAGCTGAGAAGAGGTATACAAAAATATTCCTAGCCACCATTTTAGTATTCCTCAATTTCCATTCGTGGCTTCACCTACTACACGTTCCAGGTATATTTTTATTGATTATATTTACAAGAGGCCCATTTTGATGTGCGGTTTCAATCCTGATATCATGACTGGCAACCGAAAGCTATACATATACCTTTTATGTATGCGATTTCCTGTTTATCCAAATCTCCATCATCTGGTAAACAGAAATACGAGATTTTTAACACAGCTGATTGTACAAAAAGGCGATCAACTATGGTTAGCGGCAGAATTGCTCAATCAGAATCCTCTCTTTAGGGGGTACATTGATATTTCGCAAAAGATTTCTTAATTTACGAAACTTTAAGAACCATACCAGAGAGAAATTCTAACAGTGGTATGACAACTTGAGGCGTTGGCGAAAGTTTAGTAAACTTTTCCAGATATGTTGGGAGCAGTCTAAGGAACGAAAATTTAGAAATTATTGCTCAAAAAACCTTGTATTTGTGAAGGAGTATCTCGCATAACAAGAGACGTTACATTTAGGCTGGAGTTTGTTGAAATACATTTCTGTAAATTCACTGAGTGCATTATCAAGGCACGATTTCAAATATCTCCAAAGCAATAAACTTATAAAACGCTGCAATTACTTAAATCAACTTCATTCTTTACAAAGTGCTAATGGACATAAAAAAGTCTCAAATTCCAGACTATCTTAAGTAGCCTTACCTTGCCATAACTGGCAAGGCATTTCTAACATACATATGGTGAGACAGGATACGCATAACGTCGCGGAATGAGCAACCAAACTAATCTGCAAAGTACGCATCAGACAAAACTAGACGAAATATACAACAACGTTTAAGCGAGAACAGACAACGGCTGAAAATAAAGTCAAGCAGGTTCTTACTTGTTCATCTTGACCAATGAAAATGTGGTACGTACACAGCTCTGTTAATACCTTCACATGTTACAATAAAATATCCAATTAAATTATTAGTATGGTATGATACACTTATGGTATAAATTCGTTATGGTATGGTATGGTGTGATATAATTATGGTATGATATGGTTATCGTATGGTATGATTTGGTCATGGTATGGTATGGTGTGATATAATTTTGGAATTATATGGTTATCGTATGGTATGATTTGGTTATGGTTAGTTATGGTATGATATGATTATACGATATGATTATATGATATGTTGTGGTATGGTTATGGTATAGTATGGTTTTGGTATAGTTATGGTAAGATATTATGATAGATGCAAAAAACTGAAGGATAAGAACCGTACTGGAAAAATTCTAGCGTACAAATGAGGTCGGCGCATATCATGAGGAACACGAAATAATCCAGGAAGAAAATCATAATTTCAAACCTGAATGCAAAGTAAAATTTTTAGTTCATGATTTTGGTGTGAAAAGTGCACAACTTTACTTCCCTTACCATTTTAGATAACACTGTACATATTAAACGTAAGTAGTGCTTTCAAGAATGTATCAAGTTTTTATCTTGCAGTGCCTCTGGAAAGTTTCTCAGAACAACATACAACACCTCCCATTCCAATTTCTAGAAAATCAAGAAAGTTGTACTTCAATCGAAACTTAATACCAGATGATATATTATGATGGAAAAGTTTACCTGTTGTAAGCACACAAGAATAACATTCATTGCCTCGTTTTAAAGCAGTGAGACAATCCCGGTTGTCTTATCTTCTGCAGAACTAAAACAAAAATGAGGATGTATTGAATTTGAATTTTTTGAATTTAATCACATTATTACCAAAAAGTAGAGGTAACAGGTGGCTGAACAGAGCATGGCCCCAATTGACATTAGCTACCGGTAAAGCAACCAGAGAGGTGCTGAAATCACCTAACGCTCGCCGGCACTGTTTGTCTAGAATAAGGCTAAACTCTGTATGAAAGGTATCTGTATGAAGCACAAATTACCGATCTTTTTATTACAAATTACAAGGCTAAAATCCGCGTTGGAAGGTAATATTAAGCACAAACTTCAGATATTAGTTGTGACCTCAGAATTACTGGCCAAAACTGGCCTCGGAATTACATTAGTTTTATTTGTGACCAATATTTCTTCCGTTTCTCGCAATCCGCGCACGTGATATCAACAGGTATGTTAACGGACCAGGCAAAAGTCCCTGCTTTAAGCCGGGCGCACACACAACGATTTTACGGTAGTTGGTCTATTCAGGTTTAGACATATAGGAAGCCCTTGCCCAGACATTTTTTCCTTCTCGCGGCGCTCGCGCCTCGCGC